TAAAAGCCTTTCCCACTCATTCCTGAGTCTATTTGCAAAAGACACTAGTGATGCCTTATAGTTGAAAATGGACCCAGCACTTTGGGAGGCCAAGGCGGGTGGATCACGAGGTCAAGAGATCGAGACCATCCTGGTCAACATGGTGAAACCCCGTCTCTACCAAAAATACAAAAAATGAGCTGGGCATGGTAGCGCGTGCCTGTAATCCCAGCTACTCAGGAGGCTGAGGCAGGAGAATTGCCTGAACCCAGGAGGCGGAGGTTGCGGTGAGCCGAGATCACGCCATTGCACTCCAGCCTGGGTAACAAGAGTGAAACTCCCTCTCATAAAAAAAAAAAAAAAAAAAAAAAAAAAAAAGAAAATGGTTAGATATCTGAATTAAAAAGTACAAATTTAAAGCAAGAAGAGGCTGGGAATGGTAGCTCAGACCTGTAGTCTCAGCACTTGGGGAGGCTGAGAAGGGAGGACAGCTTGAGACTGGAAGTTTGAGACCAGCCTGGGCAGCATAACAAGACCCATCTCTATAATAAAATAAAATTAAGAAAGAAAAAAAAAGAAGAAGAATTTTTTTTTCCATAGAACTCATGTGCTCCTTCGTTTTCCTTTTTAGAAAGCAAAAACCATTTCATTAGAAGAAGACTCAATGCACCTATAAAAATAGAACTTCCATTAGATTCTGAATAGCTAACATTCCACAGGAAATATGCACAAGTACCACAATGCCAAAACTATCATCAAAAGGAGGAACACAAGGAACATCCCTTCTTTGGGAATTCAAGTAGTTATTTTATATTGGAACTGATTGGGTAAATGGTTGCAATTTTCCATATGAGTATTTCATTGATATCCTTAAGATATCAATGTATATTTCTTAACTATATTTAAAATGTGCATTTTTCTAAAGCTGTTTACTGTTCCTTTTCAAAGATCACATAATTTTGAGAAATTAGACACTTACATCTGTTATGATCTCTTTTCAGTTATTGAAAATGTATACTTTTAACCATGGTTTTTCAATTGTTCTAATGCTGGACTGTGTTTAACTAGTTTATTAATCTCATTTACTGGTAGATCATTTCAGGATAAATGCTCCTCTTAAGCTTTAAATACTAAAGAATAATCAAAAAGAATTTGAGCCTTTCATTCTAGAAGCAGAAGCTCAGTTGCCTATTGCAGCATATTTCAAATTTCTATGGTTGGCATGTAAACTTTTACCCTCTTCACTTTGGTTTCAGAGACATTAATAACCCAAACAAATATGACTGACACAGACATGACCCACTTTAGTTAAAAAGCTTATTTTGCTTTCATGTGAACTGCTTTCTTTATGTTCTTCACCAATTATTGTGCTGAATTTCTAAAAAATGATACAAGAAAAAATAAACTGTGATTCTTATGATGCCCTTAATTTAATAAGGAATACAGGATCTATAAATTTTAAAGTGTAGATATAAATAGCTTGCTGACTATGGAAAACTGGCATAGTAGAAGGATTTGACCTAACACTGAAGTGCTTCTTGCAGCAGAAGGAGGTCAAAATATATCACCCCCAAATATGCCACTTTGGCATAAGGATTATTTTGAGCTAAAGCTAAGTGAGAATCAACAGGTATAGAGAGAATTACCTTCCCTCCCTTATCTGCTTAAAAGCAGGGTATAAATTTCCCTTTGAGGAGGATGTTCCCTTTCCCTGATACCAGTGAGAAAGACAGACTCATCATAGAAGACAGGGAGTCAACAGCAGATGAGTTTGCATAAACAGATCTTACTAAAATAGCCCTTACCTTCCATGAGTTCCTTCATATATTTACTAGTCACTTTCCATAAGTCAATTCTCCATTATCTCTTGAAGCCCAGATTATCTTTCCTTTGTTAAAAGGGTATAAAAGCCCAAGCCTACTGCTTCTTTGAGTTTCACTTCTTTTCTGTGAACTCTCTCACACATAAAAATTAATAAAAATTATATGCCTTTTCTCTTGTTAATCTCTCTCTTGTTAGTTAAATTCTCATGCCCCAGGCACTGAACCTAAAAGACTAGAAAAAACGTGTTTCCTCCCTGACTGAGCTATAATCAAACTCAATTCAGAATGATATTACTTAAGTAATGAGAACTAACAGAAGTATTAGCATGAAGGACATATCTCAGTTTATAATACCATGCCTTATCTACAAAGCAAAGATCTGAGAAATTAAATCTATTGAGAAATGACAACAGGTCTGATGCTTAAAAAAAAAAATATGTTACGTGTATTTCTCCCACTAAATATAGAAAAACAAAAAAATCCCTGTGTTTCAATAACCTCACCCAGCAGTAAGGAGATACTACACAGGCATGTTAGTGGAGGCTGCTTGGGGACTCGACTTCAACCCCCATCAGTCAGTAATAAGATGGCACCTTCTTACACTGGTATCAGAGAAGGTCTGCTAAAGAGAAGAGTTAATTAAATCTAGAGTACTATAAAATAATACCCCAAATGTTCAGGATATAATCCAAAAATCACTCATCATAACAAGATACAGGAAAATCTCAATTTGACTGAGAAGATAATCAACACGCAGCAATACCAAGATAACAATGCTGTCAGAATTATCTGATACGGACTTTTAGTCTGCTTTAATAAAAAATGCTTCAGTGAGCACTTATAAACATACTTGAAACAAACAAAAGGGAATATTGGGAAAGAAATAGAGGCTATAAAGAAGAAAAGGGAACTGGAGAACTGAAAAATACAACTGACATAAAAAACTCAATGGATGAGCTCAACAGTAGAATTAAAAAAAAAAAAAAAAAAAAAAAAAAAAAAAAAAACAGAGGACAGAATTAGACAATCAGACTTGAAGATGGAACAATAATAAATTACCCAAACTAAACAACAGAAAGACAACAGATTAGGGAAAAAAAAACAGTAACAACAAAAATCAGAGCCTCAGGGACCACTTAGACGCTAACAAAAGATCCAACATTCATGTCATGAGAGTTCCAAAAGGAATGGAGAAAGAAAGTGGGGCTAAAAAGGTACTCAAAGAAACAATGTCCAAAAGTTACCCAAGTTTGGCAGATAAAAACATACACATTCAAGAGGCTAACTGAACCCAAATAAGTAAACTCCAAGAAATCCAAGCCAAGCAAGATATATCACAGATACTTGAAAAAAACAATGCAAAAGAAAAGAACAACAAACTTTAAAGCAGCCAGAGAGAAATTATACCTTATCTTTAGGGGAAGAACAATTAGAATGACAAAGATGTCTCATCAAAAACCAAGGAATCCAGAAAGAAGTGGCACAACATTAGAAGAACTCTCAAACTGGAATTTTATATCTGGCAAAATATTATTCAGGAATAAAGCAGAAATCAAGACAAGCTCAGAAAAAGGAAAACTAAGAATTTGTTGCTAGCGAACTTACCCTAAAAGAATGGCTAAAGAAAGCTCAAGAAAGAAAATCATAAAAGAAGGGACGTGAACATTGGGAGGGAAGAAAAAACAATGGAAAAGGTAAAAACAAGAGCTGAGAAAGGACTGAAGAAGAAGGACTATAAGAACAACATAGAGCTATACGAAACTATGGCCACATAAGCAAGCCATGGATGGACTGGGTCTGTGCAGATGAGCCTGTGCAGTAGGATTGTGCATGAGTAGAGATTTAGTGTCTATTCTAAATACGCAGACATACTTGGCTGCCTACCCTAAAGACAAAACTTTCATTCTTTCTTAATAACAAAATCACAATTTTCTTCTGGACTAGGTATCAAGTGATTCAGAGGAGGCCAGTTCCCTTACAAAATCCATCAACTAAATTATGGTTTGTCATTGCCAGTTGTAATTTCATTCTCTTAATAAATACCTGGTTTAGTGTGGGCTTGAGAAGCAGTTCCAGTTAAGGATTCTTGAACAGGTATCTTCTGAGAGGATCTTGAGAAAGATTTCTCCATGAATAAAACTTGTGCAATAGAATTTCAATTCCCCCTTTTCTGCCTTTGGAAGTCACTGTGATAACTGAAAATGTGGCAGTCGACTTCAGACCATAAGGGGAACCCAAATATGAAGACAAACCCACATACTACTAAAAACAGACAGACGGAAAGAACGTGCTTTCTTAATGACATCATTGGAGTATTGAATTAACCAAACTTAGTATTATCCTACCTTCAAATTCATATTATGTGAAATAATTTCTTAAATCTTTCCCAAAACGCTTTGTGGCATCACACTAAATGCTAGTTTGTAGTCTATTATATGAATATACTAAAATTATGAAATTATTTCTCTATAATTGGATCCTTAAGTTGGTTTCTTTTTGACTCCCTTATAAAGGATGATGCAATGAACATCTTTTGGCATAAAATTTTAACTGAATTTAGGGTATATTTTTCATGGAATGTGTTCTGAGAAGTAAAATTACTAAGTCAAGTGATACAAACATTTTTAAATTCCCTTTGATAAGCACAGTAGCACCAAATTGATTTCCAGAAAGTATGTTCTTATTAAACTCCTACCAACCATATGTGTGGCCTGCTTTACTATATTCCTGCCAAGAGTCATTATTTTCCCTTCATTCTTGCTGACGGCACCTCACTTTAAAAGTCTTGAATAGTTTAAATCAGTTTTGGTAATCCAAGTTTCTTCCTTGAGTCTTCTTTTTACATTAAGACAATAAATTATACATAATAAAAAATTAAGTGGAAAATTTTGCCATGTCAAACATTTTTATGCTGCAAGCTAAAACTGAGAACCACTGATGGCATCACAATAGACAACACAAAGCAAAATAACTATTTCATTTAGGTTAAGGTTAATTCAAATTAAGCTTAATTTAAATTTTAAATAAAACAATGCTGCGTAGTATTCTCTTTTCAAAAGAAGAGTTGAATGTTACTGGAAGAACATTAAGAAATATTGTAGCAGTCAGTAATTTGGACTGTATAATAAGAAAAATTATTAATTCAAAATGGTCCTCAATTAGATTGCAAAAATAAATGAATCCTGAGTATATACTTACAAATCAAACACCAAGTAGTGAAAACCCTCTTCTGATATGCTATCATGAAGTCGCACTAGAAAAAAATAAGAGAAGAAAAAATATGTTAGACCTTTTCCAGTGATCAATGTTAAACCACACTTCACATGAACATCTGTCTCCTAGCTAGAAATGTTTGCATCACATTGTATTTTTGCCTTTGATAAGTCCATATCCTTTATAACAAAGTTTGGGTTCAGATAGACCTAAGGTTTGGGTTCCGGTTCTGAAAATTGGTAACTATGTCATCTCAAAAAAAGTGCTTAACTTGTAATGACATTAGTACCTATGCTTTATAAAACAGTTGAGATTAAATGAAATAAAAATGAATCCACAAAATTTCAGGTGAATATTAAACAAATGTTGAGGATCATTATACTATATATCCATATACTCAAAGTTAACAGGTTCTGGCAATTCTTCCACTTCCTTGCCATTCCCTTTGCTATCATCTTAGTCCAAGTCCTCGCCAACTCATGCTTGGTCACTACAATAGACAGTAAGAGGAATGATTCCAAATCTAGGAAATGGTTCCCCTGACTGTGTTCTCCCTTTTGTCCAAGAAGTTCTAGGTGGCACTCCCTGGTCAATCTGGTGAAACACAGTTTTTGTTATGTTACTTATTTACTCAGGTCACCCAAATCCATTGGCCAACTAATTAGCTCAAAATATACAGCTAGAACTTTTGCTAAAATAATCTACTAGTTTCTCAATATTACTTTAAAATTTCCAATAACCTGGACTTTAACTAATAACTCTAAACTAAATCACATGTGTAAACTTACATACAACTTTCTGTCTCTGCTGTTTATTTTTGCATAAGCCCCGAACCTTGTCCCAGTTATCCTTCATAAATAGTAAATTCATTTTTTGGGTTATTTATTTGTTTTTATTTTTTTAATTTTAATTTAGCTTCAGGGATACATGTGCAGGTCTGCCGCACAGGTAAACTCATGTCACAAAGGGCTGATGTTCAGATTATTTTGTCACCCAGGCACCAAGCCTAGTACCCATTAGTTATTCTTTCTGCTCCTCTCCCTCTTCCCACCTTCCAACCTTTGCTAGCCCCAGTGAATTCTTCCTACATATCTAAATCACTGCAAGTGGTGGCTTGACCTCGTTGGAAGCAAAAGGAGGCAGAGAAAGCAACAAAGTTTTAGGCCACAGCTACTTTTACAAAAGTCATCACAAAATAATAACGATTTTCTACTGCAACCTGTTATGTTTCCCATGTACTGATGGCCACCACGTGGAAAATGTGAATTTACAGGAACATTTAGGCTATCGCACTAACTAAAATTATTTATAGAGGGAGACTGTAGTGCCCATTCAACACCCAAGCTCATAGACTTAAGATAATCTCCATGCTTTATCATCTAATTTCATCCCCTTTGGAGCTCATTCCTGGCCTCTTATTAAAATCTTTTCTGAATCCCTCTCTAGATAGGTTATAGTAAAATGTGAATTTCCTACTGTTATTAACATGAGGAGGAGGCCTATACTGTAGGCAACTGAGAATGCAGCCAACAGTTCAGTCTCAGATCCTCTACTTAGCTCTTTAGTGCGTGAAATGTAAACACACTGCAGTACCTCCCACCTGCCACCCTGATCTTATTTGTTTGTCAGTGTCGCCTTTGAATTCATTCACACAGCATATTTTATTTTTATTTACTACCTCTAATACCTTTCCCTTCTTCAGTATATAGAGTATCCTCATCAATACTCCCAAACTGGAACCATATTTTATAAGTCTTGCATCCCACACAGAGATCTGGCCCATAGTAGATGGTCTGTCATCATTTTTTTTTTGAACATTTACTATAGAAGGTTTATGGACAGAAATTTTCACCAAGGATCAATACATATATTATATATACACATAACACATGCAAACACACACACACACATATGTACATAAACAAAATAAAATGATTGCTACCGAAGCAATTCTTCCACCACTTTAATGGTGTGAAAGGTATTCTTCAAGTTGCCTATATCAGAGACGCTTGCTACCTTTGCTTAAACTTATGCTGTTGAAGAAAATAAAGAGTTTGGTTTGATGATGTGTCTTTTAATGATCATTTAGTACAGCAATGAAAGCTGGGTCACGGACAGTAGCTCACTGGCTTTCTTGAATGACAGTTTCAGAGATACCTCACTTAGCAGCTATAACACAGTATACATTCAAATGAGCTTAAATAATGGCATGGCTTCTTAAAGAACTCATACAATTATTCTGAAAAACAAGATGAATTCCCATGTTATCAAAGTTACACTGAAAAGTAAAGTCTACAGTGTGAGCAGGAGAAAATCACTGTTTACTTTCTTCCACTGTCCGAAAGTAAAAGCTTCGGTACAAGTGGGATGTCGGGTGTCCACATTAAAGAGGTGTACAGCTGAACAGAGGAGGATATTTCAGGTACAACTGGAGAGTAGCAATGATTTCTGACTATCCTGGGAATAATGTTTTCTTAGAATGATTACCACTAACTTATTAATACTAAATATCATCATTCAGAAATTATTTTTTGAACAAGTCGAGTTGTTCAGATACAAGCCTGATAATCAAACATACGATACAAAAGCACTTAACCAGCTAACATGTGATAAGGGTTTGAGACAAATCATTTAGCCAAGTTTACTTCTTTTTCATCACCCAATTCCAAAATAACCTCTAATATATCTAACCAGCAGCCACTTGACCATGTGATATTATGAATGTGTTATTGATGTAGCAGAAAAAAAATCAGCATCATGTTTACTGGATTAATATACACTTTCTTCCTTCCTTCCTTCCTTATGTCTCTCCCTACCTCTTTCTACTCTCTTATTTTAAATAATTAACTCAAAAATCAGAATTACATGAAATTGTCATGATTTTAACTTACTATATTAACAAAATCAGATAATACAGTCTTCACAGAGATATTCCACATATTTACAATCACTGTGAGGATGGGTTTGTTTCCTTTAAAAATTTTTAACTCGTCAACTTTTATTCTCAGAGTTGATGGTGTGTCTATATAGCCTGAAAGATAGTGTTTTAGTCGTAGACATCCTCTATTTCCCTTCAAGTCTTTTCTGTTGGTCAAAAGTATCCTTCATCTCCTATCCTTTTTTCCTTTATAACAGATTCTCAAGGAATGAAATTGTGTTTACTTTTACAAAATGTTACATTAATTATTCCCTATAAATAACTGTCAATTCATTTTCACCACAAAGGAATAACACAACATTCTGTTCATCACAGCTGTTAGCTCAAGATTGACAGCGTGGCTGAACTTGACAGCACTGTGCATGCTGCATTTTGAAGCATACTGCACCTCGTTCTTTCTATGACTGCTCTGTTATTGCCATAAGCTTCACATATGAGTCCATGCAATTAGCCTAATGACAGTTGTCTCTATGATGTTTTTAGAGAGAAATTTTAAACAAGATAATGAGAAAAGCATTTGAGAAAACAGGTTGTAAGACATTTTGGCAGTCGTTCTTTTTGAAGTTTGGTCAAAGGTAAAATTAAGTATATGAATAAATGAATTTTCACAACCTGAAACAGCATAACAGTTATCATCTGGAAGAGAATTTTAGATTCTGGAACTTTAAGTATGGAATTTATAAGGGGGATAAAAGCTTCTGAGGCTAAAAATAGTTCCAAAAGTTAGCTGACCCATGACCTTATTCTTTTCCTTTCTCCCCTGCATGTATTATCACATTTGAATGATCACAGGATCACTGCTTTCTCTTCCTGTCCTTTGTTCTTGCATTATTTAATTGCAGTTTCTAGCTAAATATTAGCTCCATAAAGGGTCAAATCAACCATGGTCCTTGTATGATCTGAGAAATTTTAATTGAATATGCTAGAAGTTTTCTATTTATTTTAATTCTTTATTCCACTTAAGGGGTTAAAAGATCTAATAAAACTTATAGTTCTTACTGTCAGGCACAATGCAAATAATCTTTGCAAGAGTTATTATATTTAATATATACAAGCACCACAAGGACACTTTGCCATAAGCTTTTGCAAATGAATGTTCACAGGCTTAGAGGCACGGAAGAATCTTCCAGGTTAACAGCCAGTAATCAGCCAGGCAAGGACCAGAATGCAGAGCTGGATGATTCCAAAGTTGTTCTTACTGAGAATACTATGAGGGTTCCCTAAAACCTTTTTGTCAACAAACTACTTGCCAAATACCTGGTGGCATATGACCTGGTTTGTCAGGGTGAAATAATATTCAAAAGAGAGGAAAAATAAAAAAAATATTATGGTGACTAGAGAAAGAAAAATAATAACAAGTAAGTAACAGCCAATTTCCACAGAAAAAGAAAACCATTTTGAGTGTAGGTTTAAAATGGGATGCTATAAATTGAGGGTATAGAGATAGCTAGATGATATCTAGGATACGAGGCCACATTTATCTCTCTATAAAGTTCATAAAGCCCCAGAAAATAGTTATTTTTCCACTTCAAATTAGGAATATGAGAATTTCCAGTGACTCAGCTGTTTTATCTGACAGAACATTTAATGTACCAAAAATGGTAGTAAGTTGAAGAATCTGAAAGCTTACCCAACATATAAAATATCATAAACTTAAATTATTTTCATTTCCAATAATTAACACTTTCACATCATGAACATTATGATAACATGGGCAAAAAAGGGGTGTGTGTGTGTGTGTTTGTGTGTGTGTGTGTGTGTGTGTGTGTGTGTGTGTATGCATGCTCATGCAAGGCAAAGAGAGAGAGGAAATGAAAATGAATGGGCAAGGGAGGAGAGGGAAAAGAGAAGGAAAATTAAATTCCAAGTAGAAGCCATGTGAATTGTGATTAGGTACATCTTATCCATTTTGATGACACATGTTAGAAACACTTCTGTCAAAAGAAAAGGAATATATTATTTTATAGAGACTTATCTTTCATAAAAGGCTAAAAGGATACAAAGTCAATGTTTTCTATTTTAGTACTACTTCCTTTCTCCTCCATTTCTTAACAGTAACCCCCACACAAAATAAAACTAAGTTTGTGAATTATAATTTTTAT